ATGCTGGCTGTGATGTTGGGCCCTGCGGGCGCCGCTTCCTGTCTCATTTCATGGATCGATCCCTGTGCAGGGGCCTCCAGAGGTACGCGGGATTTGGCATAGGCAGGGTGCTGCTGCGCCGGCCTCGGTCGTGCTGCTGAAGCTCCCTTAGCTCCCCACCCTCGGTTCAGCGGGCCCCTCAGCTCTACAAGTTAGCACAGCCGTGGCAACCTGGCTGTGAGGGCTGCCCCAGCTCTGCAGACCTCACCTTTCTGCACTTCCCCTTTCCTCAGTCGTAACCCAGGCTGCTCTGTTTGCACATGGAGTGATATTGCAGAAGTTGTTGTGAGCTGCTTTTATTCTGCAGAGCTGGATACCTTGAGTAGTTTTTTTCTGAGCTGCTCTTGTTTGTCACCTGAGTTGAGCTCATTGGGTTCTCAGGCTTCTGCCACCCTTCACCTCGGAGGTCACTGCAGTTGCAGTGTGGGTGCCCAGCAGCATCTCCACAACAAATCTTTTAAATCCCTTTGGGTAGCTGGGTGAGCCTGGAGCTTGATCTTAGTTCCAGCTACCACTGCATAAGAGGACTATCACAGGAGGGAAGGAGAGCATATGACATTATTGTTAGTTTCAACCAGACAGTCTCAGTCAGTTGTATGGATGTTGTTATTGTGGCCTTCCGTGCTGGTTTGGCAGCTCCGAAGCCTTTCTGTGTGTTCTTCAGCTGAGTGCACAAATGATCTGCTTTCCTTCCTGCAGAAAGAAGTGTAAAGCTGCCCAAGGTACTTGGGAAGAGTTGAGAAGTAGTGGAAGTTATATCGCTCTATACCCAAGTTCTGAATGTAACATGGCTCTGTTACTGTAGCACTGCAAGCGAGTGTAGGATTTGTCAGCTTGGATTGGGAGCTGAGAAGTGGTTGCTGACAAACTGGTGTTTCCTTACTTCTGGCCTTGACTTCTCGTGTGGGAGGCATTTCTGCATCCATTGTGGGTGTGGGTACAGGGCCATGCCTCCCCTAGAAAGCTTGTCATTCTGAAGGATTCCACCTTCTTGTGAACCCTGGTCGCTTGGGTGTCAGAAACATCATCTTGGTTTGCCTTTGGAAGTGTTCTTAGAATCGTCTGCTTGGCAGATGTGGGGTTGCTGTGTGAGGTTATGATCTGCATTTGGTGATTTTTTCATAAATCTTTTCTCTGAAAACTGGCTTTAACTGAAGAGAAAACCAAATGTGCATCAACCATGTAACTGCTGATGTCAATATGAGTGTTTCTGAATGTAAAGGAATATGGAACTGAGGATTCAAATTCAGCATCTATTCTCATGCTTAAGGTTATTTCACAGCACTGAAAATACAGTGAGGAACCACCGTGCCTTAAAGCACAGTGTTGCATTTGAGTCTTCTGCTGTGGTAGTTGTGGCGCTGGATGCCGCTGCTTTGGAGAGCATTTAACAAATAAAGAATGTGTTGCAACTCAAGTAGCATGAGAAGGTGGGTATGTCAGACTAATAGATGTATCTGATGAGACACTAGGAGAAAGGCACTGAACCTGGTCTTGGGTGATGACACAGAGGTGGAAAGGCTCCCCCAGAGCAGATCACTTGTTATTGCTCTTTGGTTGGGGCTTGGCCCTTTTGGGCCAATTTTGCGCAGCTAAATTGCCCAGAGGATGGTGCCCTGTGACAGCTGTGTGCCTAAGATACAGGGTGCTGTTAAACTCCTCCCAAAAGCCCAAGAACAAACCAAAACTAAAGCAGCCTCTGAGGAGAGCTTGCTTGGAGATAGCTGCGTGCTGTGCCTTCAGCTCAGCCAGTTCAGGATGCAGCCCAGAGGCAAAGGAGATCATAAAGCAAAGGGACCCTGGTAGGTGACACAGGGCTCCTGGTCCTTGCTGCAGATGGAGGATGCAGAGCATGGCACAGGGGTGGTACTGGCAGTACTGGGGTGTGCTCTGGGGCTTCTCATTGCCCTTGCAGGATATTTCTCTTGCAGTTTGTGCTGCTTTGCCTGTGCATGGGCACCTGCCAGGGCAGTGTGTGGAATGCCCTGCTTGGGCCTGCTGGGCCATGGGTTTGGAATTTCAGCTTTATTCCAGGCGTGGCACCGATGGCTTCTCAGAGGTGTGCTTATGGATTGCAGGAGCAAGCACGCCCTGCGTGGCATTAGATTTTGCTTGTCTGCTTGTAAGAAATGCAGATTGAAACTGATAATCTGGGTTCAGGACAAACGTGTCCAAGATTGTGAAAGCTGCTGTCCCCTTCCCTTCTGTTGTCCTTCAGCTCCA